AGGGCATGAAACCTGGGATGACCTGCTTATGGACATGGGAAGTATGGCTGCACTTGTTTGGTCCCCTCAGCTCATGGTCACATAATCAGGTCTCTTTTCCTGCAGGCTGGCTTACAGTCCACTGAAGACAACAGAAGTCCACTCCATGCTGTCCAGTAGGATTAGAATTATCCCTCATATTATTCCTGTTTGGATCCCCTCATTCTGCTCCAGCAAAACCGCCCTGGGAATTGGCAGGAAAGTCGTCTGCAGTAAAGACAGCAAGAAAGCATCTCCCTTCCTCAGCCAGCAGCATCCCCACACTATTTTGAGGCAACTGACATGAGCACAAACAAGAAGAGAGCCAAGCCTCAGAGCTGCCCACCAATAAACCTGAACCTCCTTTGCACTTTGTGTTTGTTTCTAAGGACAGACACAGGTTCTCCTACTAGCACAACTGTTTCCCCAACATTTCCCTCTCAGCAGAGGTTTCACTGAACCAGAATTTCAATTCAGTATACATAAAGCTCACACAATGGGTAGCTTTCATTTTACTCTGCTATAAGCAGTGGGCAAGTCACAAGATCAGAGTTTGCCATTGTGGGCAGCCTCTGAATGCAGACATGAAGCAAGGCCGGCACAAGAAGCAGCTTTCTGGGCAGCAGGTGGAGAAAAGGGGGTCCTTGTCTGACAGCAACACCCACCTAAGAGAACTGCCAGTGAGCAGTGCTGTATGCTTCGCAAATTGTTTTCCCTTCTAACAAAATAGTGGAAAGCTTACAAATAAAAACAATCTCCACAGAGAGAGCAACATTCGGTGAGGGACTCTGGAAATGACTCCTGCTTAGGAGAGTGGAAAAGATAAACACATATCCTTCCCATTTGTGCTCAATCCCACCAATGCTACTGGGCTCAGTGTTTGGTACCATGATGAGTGAACCCCACTGATGTCTCACAAGAAGACAGTCTGAGTGACTCTGCTTAGAGGTCTGGACATGAAGGGCATACAATGATTTTGTTCTTTAGGGATCCCCCCAGCTTTTTTTTTGGTGGCACAGAAACCTCCCCAGGTTCCCAAGCAGATGGGGGTGCTGGCAGGGGAAGCAAATAAAACAGAAAGATGTGTTTGCAGACAGGTATTACAAGTCAGGAAGAACAGTCAAAAGAAATATTCTAAAATCTGAGGTTGGGAGTGTCACTGGGTGGAATATTTTCCATTGTTTTCAGGGAGGTAGCAGCATCTCCTTTCTCTGAAGAAGTTAACAGATTACTGGGCAATTAACAATGTGCAGTTCTATGTACATCCCTTGTTTGGGCTATTTTGGTCTTCCAGAGGGTGTCTTTGTTCTCAGGCCTTTTGAAAAGCAGCATGCTGAACTTTTTTGGATAGCACCTACAACCAGTATGCTTCAGTCAGCTACAAACTAGATAGACCATTGTTTGCCTGGAATTTTTTTATTAAACCAATTGTACTGGATCAATGCTTCCTCTAAGCAATAAATTACAATTCTATCTATCCAGTGAAAAGGCTTTTGGAGTCACAGATACATCTTGACCTAGGAAATAAAGTTTGGCTCCGCACTGATGTGCAATCAACCTCAGATGCAAATAAACTCAAGCAGCTAGCACATACATCTGCACCTCAGAATAGGAGCCAGTATTCTTATTTTCATCAGAAATTGCTAAGGCATCTCTTAAGAGCTTCTAGAACTGGTCTACTGCATTAGTCATGAGTACTCAGGGGCACTGAGTTTGATCTTTATAAAGGTCATTTGGTGTCTTTTCCCCTCACAATGGACTAAAAGCAGAAATCAACAGAGCCTTAATCTATATTAATTTGCTTTAGTCTTGGAGGGTCATAGATTTGCCACTGGAATTAGCAATATTAGATGATAAAATGATAATTTAATAAGACTATGATGAAAGCTTCTGTTCTATTCCAAGACAGGAACTCCTTTCGCATAGCACAAAGAGCAGCAACTCCACCAAGTCAGAGGAATTACACCAGTGACATTTCACAGCAGGATCAAACTCCAGTAAACAGGGCTGGCATGTTCCATTCAAAACTTCCCATCTCGAGCTTTACTGAGACAGGAGTCATGAGTTCCGGAGCTCTACCAAAATGCCTGGAGATGCACCTCAGTTTCAGAGGTGAAACTGGTTTCTCCAAAAACTCAGCAAACAAGATCAGTGTCTAAATATGTAAATATTTAGATGTGAAACTTGTACACCAAGTGCTGCTGCACAGCTTTGGTGACAGCAAAGTGCAGGATAATAGAGACTTCTGCCTCTTCCAAGATCCTAACCCTCCAGAATTTGTACCTATCTATAACGAGAAACAATCATGAAATTGCACAGTGTAATTTGCATAGCAGAAAAGAGAGTCCTTTGGGTCTAAGATATAACTCTTGCAAATATTTTGATAATACCTTCTCTTCGGTGCAATCTGCTGCATTTCAGAGGTCAAAAAATGTTATTTGCATTCTCGTGAGTTGTTTCCAAGAGAGATGCTTTAGTAGCATTCAGAGGAGGGAATACAAAACCCAAACAGAATCCAGGAACACTCCCACTCTTCTCCTTCAAGGCAGCCATTGTTCAGAGGTCATTTTTCATGGAAGCCCACATAGTTCCCTAAGCAGCAGTCATATCTCAACAGATATGCTGCAGATGACCTAGAAACAGGAGTGAACGAAGTTCCCCGGAAAACGTACAAACTGACCATACAGTGGTGCATCCAGCTCCTTCTGGTCTCTTCAGAGGTCTGTACAATCAATCCCATCTGATGCTGCTACACCACAGCAGGGAGAAAGCACAGATTTGAAAGCAAGGCTTTTATTACTAAATTAGAAGAAACACAAAGTGGCAAGACCTCAGCCTGCCTGGGACCTGATCCCAAGCAGAGAGTGTCCTGAACTGGGGGTACAGATACACAGCTTACTGTGCTTTCTCTGCACAAATGCAAAGCCGCATCACTGGAGGATTTTATTAACACTAACGAGTCATATATGCATTCCTATATATCTGCACACATATGAACACCCAAGTGTTGGCAGCCTCAGTGTGATCATCTGTCTTGGGAGTCCAAGCTTGCCTGCATTTCATTCCTTTTTGTAAGGCCAGGAGTGGCCCCACAGCCAAGTAACTCAGAAATAAAAACTTACCTAGTGATTTATTGTACCATTTTAAGGCATAAGCATGGGTTCAGTGGGAATATTTAAAAAATAAACTCTTAGAGGATCATCTCACCTTGGGCAAGGTGGTTACCTCAGCTACTGCTACAATCTTCTCACTGAAGTTTGTCAGTCTGGTTCTATATTGAAAACAGTCATAAAGATGGAAGAGAATAAGTTCACTACACAGATACAGAAAAGATATGCAAACTGAATGCCACTTTTGCATAAATCCAAATTCAAATCACAGACTAAATCCAGAATTCCTTGAGGCTGTGACACACAGAGAACACCTTGCTACAATAACCCAAGAAAGCACAGTAGTTCATTTTAAACTCCAAACTCAAGGCAAATAATGTAAAAATCTTTACCTGAGAGTATGAAATTGGTCTTGTACCTTTTATAACTAATCACACTCAAATTTCACTGTGTTTCACTTCATCAGTCACAACTGAGAGGAGATTTTATACCATTTATATCTGTGTCTGAGTAAGGCTGTTCTTACAAGGACTATGTATCATGATGCAGCTACTGGAAGCCCTCACATGCTCAGTCAGCTGTGCGCTTGGGACACTTGAGTGCACTGAATTTAAACGACAGTGCAGTCTTCCAATTCACGTAGCCTTCTAATAACATTGTTAATCCAAGCATATATCAAGGAATCTGTTCAGTGCCAGTGCTGAATCTTCTAAATGTGTGGACTGCTTGCTAAATCCCTAGAAGGTAGTGTCAAGAGGTTTCTGTCACCCGTGTCTTTGGGCACCCAAATCCACCCTGGAACTCCCTCTTGCAATTACCTTGCTCACTGTATTTTAGGGAATAATGCAAGGTTTCTTGAAGAGTCCAGGAATTTAATACAATCATCTAGCTTGATATGTGTTTGAATAGTGTCTTCTACTGTGTGGTTTTAAATGTGAGACATGAGCCAGTTGTAATTAAAGTTGAAGCAATAAACCTTAGCCATTGATTGCACTAAGTAATTAATTATCGATTGTAGTACTTTACATACATATTGCAGAGCACAATTCACCTGTGCTGTAGACAATACTCAGAAACACCAAAACACACCCCTCTGCTACACAGAATGATACCAAAATTGGCTCTAGGGTTTACAAGTTGATTTCCTATTAACCTTCATGGCTATGTTGCTGTCTGAGTGAAAGAAAGCCATTACTTTCAAAAAGACACAGTTAACTATTCCTTATCCAAATGAATTTTGCAAATAAGGATTTACAGTTGCAAAAGAGAAACTCTTCCTCTGTAAGACTCTGAAGGTGTTAAGTTCCTTCTCAGCAAATGCTGCTATCCCCTACACATACCAATTCCCGACAAGCGATGCTGCAGTAAGAAGCCCTACAGAACAGCAAGAGTAGCAGCATCCTCCCCTGACTCTTGGGAAAGGAGAAGGGAGAGGGACTTTAAGGTATATAAATGGGAACTGAAACCTTAATCAGGCAGACCATAGCTCTCAACTGGAGATGTAAGACTAGAAAAGCAGCAGATACCATGCTTTTAGTCTAGTTGTGCATCAGGTGGGAACATTTTTTCCCCATCGACACTGAACTTTTGTAGATGCTTTCCCCTCTAAAAAGCCAAAGCGACAGATGTTTGTTGCTTTAAAAACACAATTTTAAATTAACAATAGCGGGTTGACACTAAAATTAAACTTAAATATAAATGAAACCTGCAGATTGTTTGACTGTAACAGATCTGGGATGTGTTCTCTGACTAGAAAATTAACAAGGAAAGTTACATTTGGGTGTGTGCTGTGTGGAAAGGTCTGAGCTGGACATGGTAGGGGAAGGGGCAGGCCAGCTAGTTTTGAATGGGCCAGGAGGGGGGGGATTGTACCTGAAGTCGCTGTAGGGATGGATGATCCAGAACCCAGCAGACTTAACCCTTTCCTGCTCCCTCTCCACGGCCTTCTGGCTGCCAAACATCCTCAAGGAGAATTTGTTGACCCCCGGCTGGAGCATGGCCCCGAACTGCCTCTGCATGAAACCAGCTTGGCCCAGCCTCTGCTCCTCATCGGGAGTGATCTGGTCGCACCCTCCACTTCCTTCCACTTTGATGGAGGTAGAGGAGCAAGCCCGGGGGGGCTGCTGTTGAGGCTCTGGCGGGGATGCTGGTGGTGGGGGTGCTGGCAGTCCCTGTTCCAGCTCCCCACTGCCGGGGGGGCTCTTGTCCTCACTGGGGGAGGCCGGCTCCCCTTCCCCACCGATCAGCCTCTTCTCCTCGGCCGCGTCGTGCAGGTGCCTGCTGGTCAGCGAGGACAGGCTCCCTTTGAAGCGGCGGCAGTCCCCGTTGGTGCTGGTCTTGGCACTCTTGCTGCCTGCCTCTGTCTCCAGGAGGCCGGGGTCTCCCCCTCTGCCGGGGTCTCCCCCCAGTGCCCGGGTGCTCCCAGCAGAGGGCGAAGGCAGTGGCTTCAGCCTGATGCTTTTTCTCCGGGTGTCCTTGTCGCTGTCTTCCTCCTCGTCCATGATCGACGCCTTGGGTCCTATCTGCTGGGGCAGGCTGTAGAGTCTCTTGCGCATGGAGGGGGGCAGCGAGTCCATGGCCAATGCTGCTGCTGCTCAGTTGGAGGGAGAGACCTCCCCACTCTGCCCAAGGAGGGCAACCGTCACTGCCCGGGACAACACCCCCAGGCCCCTGCCTCCACCTCAAGGGGCAGAAGGGACCAGAGACTGGCGTGTCATCTCCTTACCAGACTGGTGCAGCC